GGAGTACGCAATTTGCAGGAACGCAACACTGTTTACAACGTCCTCGTTGTAATAAAAGGAAGTACAGTTAAACTCTGGCTAAGTCGGCGTTCTCGGGATCAGAAAATTTGTGACGAGTTATGCGAATGCCGATATCTGCCATTTTTCAACATGACACTTCTTGCCAACCGTACATGTACATGTAGTACAGGAAGTCGATGACAATGCGTGATTTGTTGAATGCCGACTTACACAAAGGATTTTGGAATGCTTTTTATGGAAAGGGGACCGAGAGTAACACAATGACTTGAGGGAAATGGCGACTTATAACAGCCGACTTAGAAATAAAAAATTCAATGGAAATGCATTACGGCAATTGGGACTTTAGTCAGACGGCCGACTTGAGCGATTTTACAAGTTGTACGATGTCGGTTTAGCCGGAGTTTACTGTACTGCTGTACATACATGAATAGCAATAGTAAAAGACAATCAAAGATAAAGGGAGCGCTAAAAACATGCAGAAAAAAGTGTAAAACTCAAAGTAAAGAACATAAAGAAAACAAACTAACAGTTACATTTCCTTTAAATGCAGAGAAATGAGAGACAATCAAAACAAAAAGAAGGTAAATATTCATCTTAAACAATGAAAATAAAAGTTCAGTGTCCATTGCGATGGTGAAGTATCACTGAGTTTGATTGGCACATTTCATCAACCATGAATAAGCGTCGTGAAAATGGAGATGGGAGACTAGAAATAATCCTGGAGTCTCGCTGGCCTGCTCCTAGTAAGGGTACCGGTACTTTTCCTTTCTGACAAGGGTGAAGTTCCTGTCGTAGAGGGCGCTACTGTTGTATGGGAACCAGATACTGCAGCAGACTGGGCTAATGAGGGGGCACCAGCGCGTTTGGTGCTGGATGTTTTCCTGGCGTTACTGCGGGGGACAGCATCATCCTTCGAGAGAGAACCTTTCTCCATCAAAGTCTTACGAAGGTTCAGCATCCATTTGAACACCTCGTCACTGAGATACTGCTTAAGTCAGTGAAGAATTTTTGTTCTTCCTCGTTGTTTGAAGCAGACTTCAAACAACATTTAAGGTCAGCTTAGGCTAATAGCATAATGAGCACCACTCCCAAAACCTCACATGGACGATTGAACCAAGACAACTTCAAGCCTGAACTCAAGCATAACGACGAGAGCCTTGACCAAGGCTAGTGCCTCCCCTATCCTTTTTAAATATTAATTTTCTTTAAGGCCTATAAGATTACAAAAAGAAGGGCGAGTATTTTGTCATTTTTAAAAAGACACCAACATTCTTCTGATGAACTTATGGAGTAGCCCAAAAAATCTAACCCCATTTCCCGCTTAAAAATTTCATCTTGATTTTCTACTAGTAAAAAAAAAAGAAAAAAAATGGAATTTGGTTTATCGGTTTATAGAAAATCAGAAATTTTGTTTGGTCGTAGATCTATGCTCTGGAAACAGGTCAACTCGTACGCGAACCAACTCGTACGCGAGTCAACTCGTACGCGGATTGGTCAACTCGTACGCGAGACAACTCGTACGCGAACCAACTCGTACGCGTGCCAACTCGTACGCGAACCAACTCGTACGCGAGCCAACTCGTACGCGAGCCAACTCGTACGCGAGCCAACTCGTACGCGGGCCGTTTTAGGAGTGGTTTCGAGGATTGGGTTGGCATGGTTGGGAAGAATTTGGGAATAGTGTGACGGGTAGTTCGTAGTTCAATGTGTGACCGTTGTGTGTGATTGGGAGTGAACCCGTGAATGATGATAATAAAGTAACTGATTTTTGTAGTTAGACGAGTGTTGTATCATTTTGTGCATACCTGTAGCCTTGTCACGTCAAATTAAATTCCATATATTAATGCAACGATGTACCAGTTGCATTTTTCGTGTTTTTTAATCAATGTACCTGTCAGTAATAATTAGGAATAAAAAATTCTGATTTAAAAAAAAAATAAAAATCAACTCCCCATTATTTCTTTTTTTACAAAATATTATTTGGATATATAATAATTAGGACTAAAAAACTATCTGACCCAAGCAAAAAACTGGCGGACACTGTCCGTACAAAAGTTATGCATGCGTGATGCTATATTCCTTTTTTTTAATAGTAGCTCCTTTTTATACAATAGACCTCGCAAATATCGGTGTTTTCTTGTCATTTTACTTGTCTAACCAACCAGCAATTGTACCGCGGCATACACAGGTTACAGCGATTCAATCATGCATTCTTTATACAGTGCGCGGTGCGGCGGGAACCAATCATACTGGTTATCGCGAAGACAACTTCCCAATCAATCAAGCGAACTTGTAAAAAAAAAAAAAAAACCGCAGAATTCTTCTCTAAAAAATCGCGAATGTAAGTAGCACTGGCGGATTCATAAATCAACTACATTTAATTTGAAAATCTCAACCTTTCAGAAAAGGTAAAATTATGCCGACCTACCGTACGTACCGAACCTAATTTCATCTGCCATTTCATCTGTCCATGTGAGCTAAACCAATCGTCTAAACTCACGCGTACGAGTTGGTCTGCGTACGAGTCGGTCCGCGTACGAGTCGGTCCGCGTACGAGTCGGTCCGCGTACGAATTGACCCGCGTACGAGTTGGTCGCGTACGAGTTGGTTCGCGTACCAGTTGACCTGTATTCTATGCTCTACGCCTGTGTACAAGAAAATAAAAAATCCACAATTTTGATAATAGAAAAATTAAAATTCAGAAAGAGTCGGCTAGAATGCGAGTTGGCGAGGGGGCGAGTCGGTCAAGGGGTTACGGTCCCAGTCTAGGCCAGACCATGGAAGAATGTTAAAAATCCAAATTTCTGCTAGGAGGCGAGGGGGCGAGTTGGTCAGGGGGTGAGTCGGTGAAGGGGCGAGTCGGCCAGGGGGCGAGTTGACCTGACACCGGGGGGGGGGGGGGGGGGGGGGGGGGGGGGGGGGACATTTGACATGTTTGATAGGCACATTATAGGCAAGACCATGGAAGAATGTTAAAAAGGTGGTAAGTTACTCAGAGTATCGTCAAAATACAATCCAAATTTCTGCTAGCACAGTAGCAGAAAATTGAGTTTTTGTCTTGAAAACAGGGGGGGGGGAGAAACAACGGGGGCGAGTCGGTAAGGGGTGAGTCGGTCAGGGGGCGAGTCGGTAAGGGGAGAGTCGGCCAGGGGGCGAGTTGACCTGACACCGGGAGGGGGGGGGGGGGGGAAACATTTGATAGGCACATTATAGGCCAGACCATGGAAGAATGTTAAAAAGGCGATAAGTTACTCAGAGTATCGTCAAACTCAAAGTAAAATCCAAATTTCTGCTAAAGTGCAAGCACAGACTACTTAGCAGAAAATTTAGTTTTTGGTTTTTAAAACGGTGATGCAATTTCTGGGGGTGCTGTGGTCCAATGGTTACGGGTTCGACTTGTGTGCCGTGGTACACGGGTTCGAATCCTGACCGTGGGAACATGGTGCTTGTGCTCTTGAGCTAGGCAGTTTTCCACTATTGCTTCGTCCTTCGGATGGGACGAAAAGCCGTAGGTCCCGTGTGTTGTGTAATTATGCACGTTAAAGAACCCAGTAACACTTGTCGCTAAGAGAAGGGGTTCACCCCGGTGTTTCTGGCAGTGGCCGCAGCACCTTGTATACCCTGGTGCCACATAATGGGTCTCATATCTCTCATGTACTTCATTCATCTAACAATAGACATAACTCCCAGTGCCTTGAGTACCTCAGTACTCCGTTTAGCTCTACTGAGTGGAGCGTTGAATTACGGGTACCCCTCCATACAAACGCTCCACCGATTTGCCATACTTTGGTAGCACCATACACGGTCGTCATGACGGTATGCATTTTGTGCATGCCCTCGCGAGGACAAGGCCCCAAAAAACTGATAAAGAAAATACAAATGAGGAAGACAGTAACCCTGGATAGATCCACACATTCATGACATTCCATATGACCCCTCAAATTGTTTCAAACAACCGGTAATTTTGAAAAAAGAACAAAATAGTCTGAACTTACCGCTCACAATTAAATGTGTCTGCCGAGTTGCACAGTCTATTTCACTGACATGACTGATGCATAATTCATTGCGCGCGTGTGTGACGTCACTATTGAAGAAAAACAAGTTGCGCTTACTCAATAGCTGTTTTATGTAGTCATGTGTGCCCCGCGCCGTCTGACTGGGGGTTTTTGGTGCGGGGCACATATCAGTACATGAAACAGTCATTGATTAAGCGCGACTTGTTTTTCTTCAATAGTGACGTCACACACGCGCGCAATGAATTATGCATCAGTCATGTCAGTGAAATAGACTGTGCAACTCGGCAGACACATTTAATTGTGAGCGGTAAGTTCAGACTATTTTGTTCTTTTTTCAAAATTACCGGTTGTTTGAAACAATTTGAGGGGTCATATGGAATGTCATGAATGTGTGGATCTATCCAGGGTTACTGTCTTCCTCATTTGTATTTTCTTTATCAGTTTTTTTGGGCCTTGTCCTCGCGAGGGCATGCACAAAATGCATACCGTCATGACGACCGTGTATGGTGCTACCAAAGTATGGCAAATCGGTGGAGCGTTTGTATGGAGGGGTACCCGTAATTCAACGCTCCACTCAGTAGAGCTATACTCCGTTGAGCTAATGCCTGAATAGGTTTGCTGCAACGTAGCCTTACACTTTACAGATATATACAGATACAGAACCTAAAACTCTACTACTAGCAGAAAATGGGAAAATACTTTTGACGCTCCCCGGCATGAGTATCCAGACGCCAATTTCTTGGTGGTGTAAAGTCGTTTTCCTACGCTGCCAGCATGGCCAGACTGCCCTAGTTAGCCTAGTTCCGGATAGCAAACATCATGGACATGATGGAGCGTACTTTCTTTCCCAAACATGCCAAAAAAATTCCAAAATCACGGCAAATTCATGACAAAAATACCTAATAAAGAGCCTATATACAGGCTGTATCAATGACGAATTAATAGGGCTTAAATGGTACTCACGATCACTTTGTGAACTGCAAATCCATGGAATTTCTTCAGACTATTGAAAAGGCATGAAAGGTGCGCTACTTACAGACAATGACAGACATACATGACATACACCATGCATCCATGCCATCTCTGCAGTGCACCGCGCAGCTGGGGTTTTGACAAAACGGTTGTATGCTTGTCTCGTTCAGCCGTTCAAATCTCGCGTATATGCAAATAATATATACACGGACATTTAATGTCTGTGTAGTACATTTTTGCGGGGGTCATCAATTTGAATTGAGTTTAGTTTTTATGTGTGATGCTGATTTTCCAGACGGGTTATTTTTAAAAGGGATATAAATCATAGTTTGAACATATTAATTTTACAAAATTGTTATATTACCCGTAGTAATAGGTTACAGTAACTTATTACTGTTCCGAAATACAAATATTTACACCCCTCACTGAGCTGAATAATGATGTGTATCCAACGAACATCCGGTGTCGTGCCAAAAACCGTCCGGTGCCAAATAGTGTCCGCTAATTAGCATAATGCGATCTGATTGGTCATGCGTCTATGACGTCACATTGTTTACGGACGCTTGCCAAATAGTGTCCGCGCTTATAGGGCGTTTTCGAATCCCTGTTCTTGACAACACGCGTGTAACACGAGAACGTGTTCTCGAACTGGTTGTTACGAACGCGCGGGTGCGTGTCGCATCGATATAAAGCAATGCAAAATGGCCGACAATCGTCTGAATTTGTACTTAGGCCTATTCCATATGAACGAGGACGACTGTTGCAAAACCGTACATGCGGGGATGAAATTGCAGACCTGCATTATAATGGTATTCTTATTCCAATCATTAGGGTATTAGCAACAACAAAAAAGAAGCACAAAACAAGGCTACGACTATTGCGCAGTGAATCTGCACAGTCCGCCATTTTGTTCAAGCTGCACCTCGCCGAACCCTCCATCAACCGGGGAGTGAAAAAATCGATCCGCGAACGCCCTCTCGGGTCTGTTCGTCACGTTCGAGACCGCTGTTCTCGTGTCGGGTTAACCCCACTGATCTCTATATAAAGACTGGATAGCGGATATGCATACAACATTCACACAGTAGACTTTGCATATTGACCAATTCGCCCCGGTCTCACAAAGATGGCCGCGTATAATACGAACGTTCTACGCATAAATACGCGCGCGTTGTATCAACAGTTGACGCGCATTTTGGTCACGTACACATATTATGATGTTCTAAAAGGGACACATTTCCGTAGTGATTATTATTTCAAAACGCCGAAAAAGTTATATTTGCGGCATTTTAGTAACCACGACGTTAGAAAAATTGTAGTTAACCTTGGTCAGTGGTGGTGGTCAAAATATAAGTCAAGTGAACCGCGACGTTACAAAAGAAATCATGCCGTCTATAAAAACGGCATCTTGTCCTTTGTAGATCACCAGCCGGTCTCACCAATATGGCGTCAAATTCGTACATTGTGCGGCTCTGTATTAGCTATCCAGTCTTTATATAGAGATCAGTGGTTAACCCGGGTGTTGTCAAGAACAGGGATTCGAAAACGCCCATAGCGTGCATCCTATTGCGTGTCTTGTCGAGCTGTCAATACATCGTATAAAAAAGATCTCTTTTCACCTGAATTTGCTTTTTACAATCTGTTTTAACGTTTTCCTTGTTACCTGTGATAACTATTTGACTTGGTTTCCCTAATATTTGTGCAAAATGTCTGTGTGTTTTTTCGCGTCAGTTCACCTGTTTGGCGTGCAGTACGTACGTAGGAATGTCGGACACTTCGCCCCATTTCCACGTCGCCCCATGTCACTTCGCCCCTAACCACTTCGCCCCATCCCCACTTCGCCCCCATCCCCACTTCGCCCCATCCCCACATCGCCCCATCCCCACTTCGCCCCATTCCCACTTCGCCCCATCCCCACTTCGCCCATCCCCACTTCGCCCCAGCTGTTACATGTAAAAAAAAAAATCCTAATCTATTTTATTGGCTTAAAAACAATTCCAACAGATTCACTAATTGCTAACCAACGGAAAGAATTAGCCCACCAACATTGACCAAAATAAACAATTCATAACCAACCTCTCAAGCTATCACTCTCCCCTACCGAGAAAAAAAGCTTGAAGTAAAAGATCCAACTTTTTTTAACCCGGCTATACCAACCCGTCTCCCACTTATGGAGGAACCAATCTACATGGGGCGAAGTGGGGATGGGGCGAAGTGGGGATGGGGCGAAGCGGGGATTGGGCGAAGTGGGGGATGGGGCGAAGCGGGGATGGGGCGAAGTGCGGATTGGGCGAAGTGGGGATGGGGCGAAGTGGTTAGGGGCGAAGTGACATGGGGCAACGTGGAAATGGGGCAAAGCGTCCGACACCCGTACGTAGGCCTAACGCCGTGTGAAGTGTGTGTAGTACGTACTGTGCTGTGTGTAGCATTATAACCAACGTTATATTTTACGGTTTCTCCCACCTGATACTGTCCGATTTTTCCTGCCAAATATTGTCCGATTTTTCCTGCCAAACTGTCCGATTCCTCCTTCCAAATATTGTCCGATTCCCCCTGCCAAATACTGTCCAATTTTTTCTGCCAAATACTGTCCGATTTTTCCTGCTAAACAGTGTCCGATTCCCCCTGCCAAATAGTGTCCGATTTCCCTGCGAAAAAAAATGTCCGATTTTTCCTGCTAAGTACTGTCCAATTCCCCCTGCCAAATATTGTCTGATTCCCCCGCCACTGAATATTGTCCGATTTTTCCTGCCAACAAATACTGTCCGATTCCCCGCCCTGCCAAATATTGTCCGATTCCCCCTTGCAAAATACTGTCCGATTTTTCCTGCAAAATACTGTCCGATTTTTGCAGCTCAATACTGTCCGGCAGGACGTACGTACGTGCGCCCTTGTTCTCTCTCGATCGACGGCGCCCGGACACTATTTGGCATGTATTACATGCCAAATAGTGTCTGGCGCCTACTGCGCATGCTCAGCGGACACTATTTGGCACCGGACGGTTTTTTTTCGCAGGGAAATCGGACACTATTTGGCAGGGGGCCCGGGGAATCGGACACTGTTTAGCAGGAAAAATCGGACAGTATTTGGCAGAAAAAAATTGGACAGTATTTGGCAGGGGGGAATCGGACAATATTTGGAAGGAGGAATCGGACAGTTTGGCAGGAAAAATCGGACAATATTTGGCAGGAAAAATCGGACAGTATCAGGTGGGAGAAACCGTAAAATATAACGTTGGTTATAATGCTACACACAGCACAGTACGTACTACACACACTTCACACGGCGTTAGGCCTACGTACGGGTGTCGGACGCTTTGCCCCATTTCCACGTTGCCCCATGTCACTTCGCCCCTAACCACTTCGCCCCATCCCCACTGCACTTCGCCCAATCCGCACTTCACCCCATCCCCGCTTCGCCCCATCCCCACTTCGCCCAATCCCCGCTTCGCCCCATCCCCACTTCGCCCCATCCCCACTTCGCCCCATGTAGATTGGTTCCTCCAAGAGTGAAATTAGGATGTCAAAGGTATTGTCGTTCTCGGATAAGTGGGAGACGGATAAGACAGCGGGTCTCTAGTGGGAAGTCCCGGTGTAATGACGTAACGGGCTAGCCCGACTTCGCTAAAAGTAAACATGGCGGGCAGAATTCGCCGTGGCCGCGACGTAACTACAAATGTACAGAATATGACACAAATGGAAAGAAAAGTTTATTTATCAGACAAAATAATCGGAAACTATGTGCAAGTTGTATGGTCCGTTTATTTTCAGGGACGGAACCCGACTGTTGGCTGCTATGGCTAGGCCAATGTCATACCGAAAGCAGTCGAAAATCGCGGTACGGCACTAGCCATGGACTGGTCATGGCTGGATGGCTGCCGTAACAATAGCGATGGTTAAAAAAAGGAGTCTGAAAATGCACTTCACCCTCCATGATATAAATAAGTGGTGTCTGGATAGTATGATACTACGTTCTTTGCGATAGTTCAGTACAGTATATAGCCTCAATTATTATTTGGTTAATAACCAATAACAGCATGAACAGGGCCGGGCTTCGAAGAAAAAGGAGTTAGCTAAACATTAATTCAAATTTAAGTGACTATTGTTACGGCAGCCGTATTGCAGTTTTCAACTACTGTCGTTCAAGCATTGCAGCAGTTTCCTTCTTTGTTTGTTTTTGGTTTTTTCCTGTTTAATAATAATGCTGGGTCCTACATGTCCATGCTAGCTAGACTAGAGTAGAGTAGACTCCTGGTTGTTTTTACTTGTACGTTAAATCGAATCATTCTTTGTATTTAAAAAGATTTAATTGTCTTCGTTGTAATTGTAATCAGTGGCTTGGGAGGATGTTTTAAGGGAGAGATAGAGCCTGAGAACCATTCGGTTGATATATCATTGTAGTCTATTTCCAACAGATAAAAATCCTAACGTTATTACCGCCTTGTATTATGATAGCAGTTGAAACTTGCATTACGACTGCAGTAATGATAGCCAAAAGATATTTTTAAAAGCACGGGGAGGGGGGTATTGCCCTACAAATTATGGTGAAGTTATAGTAGTTTTAAATATTTGACCTTAAACCTGTTCCAGAATTTTTCATTCTTGAAGTTAAAATTTTGAATATTTGTGTTTTTTCATATTTAAATATGATTGTTCACACATACACACTAGTGTTTACAATTAAGGCCATTCATTTTTGAAAAATGTAGTATTTGATTATTTGAAACTGCATTTGACCTATTTGAACATTCAAAACTTGGCGTCAATTTTACACAAGTGGCCATTTGCCTGCAGAAAGTACACTGTACCTGTCCAAAATTTGCATGCCACAACTGGTCATTTGCTTTAACCTAGGATGGAAACAATGAACTGATGTCAACAAAAAAGTTACTGTCAACAAAATGTGGCATCTAACAATAGGCCTAAAGTTTTTCTGTTGACAGCCTGGGCAAATACTGAATAGTCAGCTATGCTATTCCAATTACCGTTGAAAAGTAGAGCTCTAAATGTTTCTTGTTTTATTGCTTTGTTTTCTTTCAGATTCAGTGTGCGAAACTTGTTTTATGAAACATCATGAAGAGCTGCTTCAGGTAAACACTAATTAA